GTTCAAGCCCTGGGTTGGGCTCTGTGCCAACAGCTCAGAGCCTGGAGCCTGCATCCAATTCTGTGTCACCCTCTCTCCCTCTGCCCCTCCCCCCGCTCATGCTCTGTCTCTCAAAAATAAACATCAAAAAAAATTTTTTAAAAAGCAAATAAAAATAACAAATACAAGTTAAATATATTGTTTTTCCCTTTGCCATGGCACTCACTCATACATGTGTGAATGGAGATCTTTATGATTGCTGCCAGTCGGAAAAATAGGATTGGAGGAATGTTCTCACACCCAAATGTCAATGGCAGAAAGAAATCAGAACAATCTGCCTTCATTTATAATGGAGCAGACTCTGCCAGAGGGCTCCAGAAAGATTCCTACATGACTATTTAGCCCTACCTATGACTATTTGCCCCTACCTATATGGAGCTCTAAGCCTTTTCCCCATAGACTACTGGCTCCCACTAAGTGACTTGAAACCTCTTTATTTTAAATATCAGAAGGGCACTATACAGCGTATGTCGCCCCAACTCTATTAGAAATGCCAAAATATGGGGGCGTCTCGGTGGCTCAGTCGGTTAAGCATATGACTTTGGCTCAGGTCATGATCCCACAGTTTGAGTTCGAGCCCTGCATTGGGCTTTGTGCTGACACAGAGCTTCAGATTCTGTGTCTCCCTCTCTCTCTGCCCCTCCCCACTCATGCTCTGTCTCTCTCTCTCTCTCTCCCAAAAATAAGTAAACATTAAAAACAATTAAAAAAAAAAAGAAGTGCCAAAATATGATCTCCAGTGAAAATAAAAGGAAGCCACCCTGAAGTACCCAGGATATGACGAGAGAGGTAGCAGTCCTATGTATTTTGACACTTTTATAAACACAACATATGTAAGCTGCTATTTTGAATCATCCTATGATAGCATCAGTCAAAACATAACATAAAGTATTTCCCAAATAATCTTCTAATAGAAGACTAAACACTTCAATCTGAAGCAACTGGAGTCAGGGCAAACAAACTTGAAACTGCAAAAATACAAAGAAATTAACTTAGACATTCTCTAAGATTATTCAGCCATCTGATTATACTGCTTAGTCATTTTTCTTTCTGATGCTCAATGACTCTACATGCCTCTTTCCTAGATTTATCTAATTATACTTCATGCAAATTAAATCTGCTGGAAATGTGAAAACAAAAAGAAGAAATGGTGATTCAGGGTGTCTGGGTGGCTTGGTCAGTTAAGTGTCCGATTCTTGGTTTCAGCTTAAGTCATGATCTCACAGTTCATGAGATCGAGCCTCTTGTTAGGCTCTGTGCTGACAGCACAGGGCTTGCTTGGGATTATCTTTCCCCCTCCCTTGATGCCCCTCCCTCTCTCTCCCAAAATCAATGAATAAATTTAGAAACAAAGAAGAAATGGTGATTTGCCCAGCAGATATCCCTTACCTACCTGTGGCTCTGTGGGAGTTGGAGAGGGGGGCTGAGGCCTCAGCAAGAGCTGCAAGGGTGGCCAGCACCGAGGTGGTGGAATTTGCCAAGTGTGCTGCTGAGGAGGCATGGGGGTCACCTATTTTGGTAAAAAAGGCAAATGAGGTCTGGTGTAGAAAATAAATGGAGATGAACTAAAAATGGCTTTTATTATCTGGGGTACCTGGGTGGCTCAGTTGGTTAAGCATCTGACTCTTGGTTTCAGCTCATAAACTCAAGGTTTGTGGGTTCGAGCCCCGGGTTGGGCTCTGTGCTGACAGTGTGGTGCCTGCTTGGGATTCTCTCTCTCCCTCTCTCTGTCCCTTTCCTGCTTTCTCTCTCTCTCTCTCTCTCTCTCTCTCTCTCAAAATAAATAAACATTAAAAAAAATGGCTTTTATTAAATCAAAACCTCAGCTTTGCTCTCCCATACAAACTGATATAAACCAATGATTGTGGTATTAACAGTTTGGAAGGTTTAGAAAAGTTTTTCCTTTAAAGGGGATTAAGGTAATATGCTTGGTATAGGGCCACTACATTCCCCACATTTGCTCATTCTCTTGGCACTGCCAGTGCTGAGCATTAGTAGCCGGCAGCCCAGGAGTGCCGCCCACTCACTCGGCTGGCTGTACAGAGCTCTGTTTGGCAGCAGGTGGTAAGGACATAGAGTATGACTTACCCTAAACTATTGCTGCTGCGGGAAGAGGCTCTGCCTGGGCTTTACTTAACCACACTGCATCTATCCATCAGCTAGACAGGTGAGAAAGCATAGCACTGACCTCTACTGCAGGAACAGTTAAAAACCTGACACTTCACTTACTGAATGTCAAACAGTAGTACGACCAGTTTGTGCTAAAAACAATTACTTACTTATCTCATGATGCACTTAAAAAAACAACTATGTTTATAACCTTGTATTCTTGTTTCTGTGTGCTATTCTTACAACTACGCTCCAGGACGAAAGTGCATTAGATCGGGCAACAGCCATGCCTAACTTTATTTACCAAAACTATTACTGAGGCGCCTGGGTGGCTCAGTCTGTTGAGCATCCAACTCTTGACTGTGGCTCAGGTCATGATCAAGACACACATCGGGCTCTGTGCTGACAGCACGGGGCCTTCTTGGGATTCTCTCTCTGCCCCTCCCTGGCTCATGTTTACGTTAAAAAATAAACATTAAAAAAAAGTATTACTTCACAATTTTGCATAAATCTAACTTTTATAAAATAAATTGCATTTCACTATGTCTTTCATTAGAACTTCAAAGATACTTTTGTGTCAGTTGTGAATTTATTGCTTCTCAGCTCCAAATCCCTGTTTTGCCTTGCCTTGTCATACTTAAGCTGGACCCTTATCAATATTTCTTGACAATTAGCATGAAACTAGGTTTTGTCATACAGAAGGAGTGTCTGCTCCCTAAATTGGCTATTCTGGTATTCTTTAGAGTTCTCCTCATATCTTAGTAGTTAACCACTATTATTAATAATTTTTTATAAATTACACATACATTTAGGTATAACATATTCAAATTATGTGTTATATATTATAAAAAAATTATACAACTTGCCATGTAGTTTAGTCTCCTGACTGGGCTCTGATTGATTGTTTTATTTAAAAAATATTTATTTATTTTGAGAAAGAGAGTGGGAGAGGGGTAGGGAGAGAATCCCAAGCAGGCTCTCACTGTCAGCGCAGAGCCTGACATGGGGCTCAATCTCACGAACCATGAGATCATGACCTGAGCTGAAAGCAAGAGTCAGATGCTCAATGGACTGAGCCACCTAGGTGACCCAGATACACTTACCCACTTTTTAAATGTACTCTTAATTTTCTTTAAGATTTTAAGTAATCTCTACACCCAATGTGGGGATGGAACTTACAACCCCGAGACCAACAGTCACATGCTCTACTGAATGAGCCAGCTAGAAGTCCCAATACTTTTTAAATAATTTTTTTAAATGTTTTATTTATTTTTGAAAGAGTGCAAACAGAGGAGGGGAAGAAAGAGAGGGAGACAAGTATCTAAAGTGGGCTCTGTCCTGACAGCAGCAAGCCCGATGTGGGGGTCAAACTCACAAATCATGAGATCGTGACCAAAGTTGGACACTCAACTGACTGAGCCACCCAGGTGCCCTTTCAATGTACTCTTGATTTTTATGTTTTCTCACTACCTATGCTTAAAGATTCTTTCCAGCCTTTTGTCTATCAAAATGCCAGTTATCTGTAAAATAAAGAAATTCCCATTTAACACTCTTTGTAATAATCCTTCCACAGAGCAAAGGATCCTTTTCTGATATGATTAATGTAGGTAATTTAACTGGTTTATAAATTTAAATTTCAGAAGATTTGCCTTAAAAAGGTGGATTTCTGGGGCACCTGGGTGGCTCAGTAGGTTGGGCGACCAACTTCGGCTCAGGTCATGATCTCACGATTTGTGGGTTCGAGCCCTGCATCGGGCTCTATGCTGACAGCTCAGAGCCTGGAGCCTGCTTTGGATTCTGTGTCTCCCTCTCCTCCTTATGCTCTCTCTCTGTCTCTCAAAAATAAATAAACATTAAAATTAAAAAAAAAAAAAAAAGGTGGATTTCTTGTATAGTACTCTTAATAGCTACAAATTATCTTCTTTTTAAGTAGGCTCCAGGGGCGCCTGGGTGGCGCAGTCGGTTGAGCGTCCGACTTCAGCCAGGTCACAATCTCACGGTCCGTGAGTTTGAGCCCCACGTCAGGCTCTGGGCTGATGGCTCAGAGCCTGGAGCCTGTTTCCGATTCTGTGTTTCCCTCTCTCTCTGCCCCTCCCCTGTTCATGCTCTGTCTCTCTCTGTCCCAAAAACAAATAAAAGTTGAAAAAAAAAATTTTTAAGTCGGCTCCATGTCCAGCACTGAGCCCAGTGCGGGGCTTGAACTCACCACCCTGAGATCAAGACCTGAACTAAGGTCAAGCATCACACACTTAACTGACTGAGGCACCCAGACGCCCCCAAACTATCTTCTTTTAAATTTATTTATTTTTTTAGTAATCTCTGCATCCAATTTGGGGCAAAAACTCATAACCCTGAGACCAAGAGTTGTATGCTCTACCAACTGAGCTAGCTGGGCGCCCCAGCTACAAATGATCTTACTCAAAGCTTTTGCATGATGACGGTGGCAGTGGTTGATTAGGGTGGAGATAGTGATGATAACCCTGTTTTATTCTAATTCTTTCATAAAATATGCAGGGAACCAAACAGTCTGAGTGGAACACAGAGTGCCTGACCTCCAGAAAGGAATCGATGTCTATCCCATAACTTCATGCAGTGCAAGATCCAGCTATATTCTCTAATGTTCCTACTAAATTCATGCTTTTCCCATCACTCAACTTATCATACCAAACACTGACATAAGAAGTCACAGATGAGGGGGTGCCCGGGTTGCTCAGTCAGTTAAGCATCTGACTTTGGCTCAGGTCATGATCTCATGGTCCGTGAGTTCGAGCCCCACATTGGGTTCTGTGCTGACAGCTCAGAGCCTGGAGCCTACTTTGGATTCTGTCTCTGTCTCTCTCTCCTCCTCCACCGCTTGCACTCTCTCTCTGTCTCTCTCTCTCTAAAATAAATAAATATTAAAAAAACAAAACTCACCAATGACACAAGGAACAATTTTTAGATATATATACAGTAACACCTAGAATTGTAGGTTGTTCTGTGAGTGTTCCACAAGACCAGCAAACATATCTAATAAATTTTCACTTGATAAACAAGTGATGTCTTGCAATACGAGTACTATGTGACACCAAACATCACATGATCACAACTGAGCCAATGGGTCTCCTCTCTCCTCTCTTTCTCACAGCAGCATTGTGGGTGATTGTCTCCCATGCTTGGATGCTTGGTCTCAGGGGCAATATTTGGCAGAAATCAATGATATTTCAGAACGTTGGAAGGTGCCCACAACTGGCACTAGTGTATTTTTTGTCACTTCCAAGCACTTATAGACAGTCCTTTGCTTTTCCATACAAGAGTAAGCTTAGGAATGCTTTGCTTCATTCTAGGTCAGGCTGCCTGCAGATATGGACCTTTTCCTCTGCTGCCTTATTGCCAGTTACATTAAATACAGTAACAAAGAGTTTATGAATACTGTATTGTAGTCAACATCTGTGCAAACATATACAATGGCCCTCATGCAGGAAAAGATTCCACTGAGCCAATGGAAAGCAGTGATTCCATTAGTGATAGTGAAAGTCGTCCTACAAAATAACCTCTTCTCTTTCTTGTCTCCCTCACACCAGCCATGAAGATTTTCAAAGGGAAGTACAGGTTAATGTGTTTATTTTTCTTTATATTTTGTTTTATTTATTAATATTTTATAAATACTATTGTTTATATTATTTTGTTTATATTATTTTATCGATAAAATATATAAATATTTTCTTTATTAATTTGTATTACAGTATTATAATAATTTTTATATGAATATTTTGGGGTTGTAGAATGAATCATCTGAGTTTCCAGTTTTGTTTTTTGTTTTTTTTTAATGTTTATTTTTGAGAGATAGAGAAAGAGAAAGACAGAGCATGAGCAAGGGAGGGGCAGAGAGACAGGGAGACACAGCATCCAAAGCAGGCTCCAGGCTCTGAGCTGTCAGCACAGAGCCTGACATGGGGCTTGAACCCATGAACCGCAAGATCATGACCTGAGCTGAAGCCGGACACTTAACCGACTGAGCCACCCAGGCGCCCCTCCAATATTTCTTATGGGGAAATTCACTTTGATATACAAGTGCTTTGGATTATAAGCATGTTTAGGGAACAAATTATGCCTGCAAACCAAGGTTTTACTGTATATATATATATATCCCTCGAGGAGGGTAGAATGTATATGGCAATAAGTTACTAACAATCCAAAAACAAAGTTGTTATTATTTTACCAGAGTTAAAACACACACACACACACACACACACACACACACACACACACACACACACACACACACAGCTGTTATAATTAAAGTTCAAGTAGTCCAAACCTCAGAAAGGTCACTCAGCTAAAGAAGAAAAGCTAGGGGCGCCTGGGTGGCACAGTCGGTTAAGCGTCCGACTTCAGCCAGGTCACGATCTCGCGGTCCGTGGGTTCGAGCCCCGCGTCAGGCTCTGGGCTGATGGCTCGGAGCCTGGAGCCTGTTTCCGATTCTGTGTCTCCCTCTCTCTCTGCCCCTCCCCCATTCATGCTCTGTCTCTCTCTGTCCCAAAAATAAATAAACGTTGAAAAAAAAAAAAAAAGAAGAAGAAAAGCTAGGTAAAACTACTTTTGAGAACGTATTATATACTTTTCAGTACATGATGATACCAGGCTAAGGGTGTTCTCCCTTTGATTACTAACTTACCTAAGTCCACTCAACAGCAAAATGAAGAAAGAACATTTGTGAGAAATTGGGTTAGTATTCTGACATGCACAGTTGAAACTGAAAAGAGATGATACCAATGATCTCCTCAGACTTATCCCAGTGAATTCTAGGAAAACAAGGTACTTTACTGTTAAACAATATTGCTTCCTTCTCCTCAATATAAGGCCCAACATCAAATAAAGTAAAATGTGCATGGATGCTGTTGTTTTGAAATGAAATGACATTATCAGTGAAGACTCTTGTTACCAATTCAGAATGTGGCTTTGACAAACTCTATGCCACGACTTAGGGGAGTGTGCTATGGTAAGCTAGGCAATTTCAATGAGTTGGTGAAAACTAGATCCAGAAAAACTACATAACTTGCCCACGTCACACAGGTAGTAAATGTCAGAGCCCAGATTAGAATGCAATTCATTACATTCCAAAGCCTGTACTCCTTATGAACTAATACAAGCTATTTATATTTGACTTTGGAGTGCATCTTATGATCCTACAGAAATAGGAAATTCATCTCCATAACTTTGTTTTGCCCTGGTTAATGTTTAATTTAGTCTAGCTGCCTTTTTGAATGGCTGCAGTTTGATGGTAGCACTGATGATCAGTGATATCTTTAGTCACAAATGGAAAAATGAAAGCAAGCTTTATAATCTGAATTTTATCAAAAATATCCATCAAAATGATAATTCTAGGATAATGTCAGTTAATTCTTCTTGTGTATGTGTGGTAGCCCCTCCCTTTCAGTTAACTCTTAAAAATATTACTGGATGAAAAAAATATCACTGGACGATGGGAAACAAGCCACCCACCATTCGGGAAAAGAAAATCCTTTAACCCAGTTGAGTAATACAACCTGAATTTGTCTTATAACTTTTCTCCTCTCTTTTATCTGCACTGATTATCTCCCCTGAAGGGGAAGAGCTAGGTAGAATTGTTTCATGCGTAAGACAACACTGGAGAGATCAGGTCTATTATGTAACGGTTTAGCAATCTCAATTTGTGGTCGGCAACATACAGAAGAGAGAAACGATAGGTCTGCTAAAAGCAACATGACAAACACAATAGAGGCCCATGGGAAACAACGCTAAGAAGCTCTATTCTAAATGTCTTCAACTTTGCTTATCATTTCAGGTCAGGGTCTGAAGAATTTCAATAATTAGATTATCAACTCTAGTTCCTTTCACATATTTGTGAACATATAACTTAACTAGCTTCTTTTTTTTTAATTTTTTTAAAGTTTATTTATTTATTTTGAGACAGAGAGAGAGCAGAGGAGGGGCAGAGAGAGGGGGAGAGAGAGAAAGAATCTCAAGCAGGCTCCACATCATCAGCACGGAGCCCAATGCGGGGCTTGAACCCATGAAACGTGAGATCATGCTCTGAGCCTTACCCAACTGAGCCACCCAGGCACCCCTAACTTTACTAGCTTCTAACGACTTTTGGATTATAAAGGCATTTGTTCTAATCACTGTGGCCTGAACCACAACAAATCCAAAAAGCTGTGAATATTCTGATTATATGTATACTTATTTTTAAGCTAAACCTTTTGAATCATCCGGCTGAAAGCAAAGCACAGTGATTTTAAATGATAGTCGATGGCCTACAAAATGAAGGTCTCTACTGCCCCCCTGAGGGCATAACTGAATTAACTTTCATTGAGAAGTTACATTTTCATTTAATACTATTACTGAAGTCCTGCTATAAAATGGAAATACAAATCTCACTTGAAGTCTCACAACCACCTCATAAAGTATGTATTATTATATCCCAATTTTGTAGATATGTAAAGAAGGCTTAGACAAAGGTTTTCCCAAGGTCAAGCATGTAGTCAATAAATCAGTATTTGAATGCAGTTCTAAATGTAAAATTCTATGCATATCATGTATATGCTTGTTTCTTTTTGCCACACTGCCTTTCCATAATAATACTTCATTCACGGTCTTCCTTTGATATTATATAAACTTAACTAGAAATACAATGTCCTTTTTTTTTTAATTTTAAAAATGTTTATTTATTTTTGAGACAGAGAGAGAGAGAGAGAGAGAGCGCGCGTAAGTAGGGGAAGGGCAGAGAGAGAGGGAGACACAGAATCTGAAGCAGACCCCAGGCTCTGGGCTGTTAGCACAGAGCCCGATGTAGGGCTCAAACCCACAAACCATGAGATCATGACCTGAACCAAAGTTGGACGCTTTACTGACTGAGACACCCTGGCACCCCGCAATGTCTTATTTTTAAATGAAAGTCAGAAACAGAAAAAGAAACCAAGTCAGTTGGAAAATTTATTTAAATGAAGACACAAGTCCCCTCACTGTAAAACAAATATATGTAAGGAAATGTTGAAAATAGCTCAAATTGCTTTTTATTTTTTTAATGTTTGTTTATTTTTGAAAGAGACAGAGCAGGGGAGGGGCAGAGAGAGGGAGAAACAGAATCCAAAGCAGGCTCCCGGCTCTGAGCTGTCAGCACAGAGCCTGATGTGGGGCTCAAACTCACGAACCGTGAGATCATGACCTGAGCCGAAGTTGCATACAACCGACTGAGCCATCCAGACGCCCCTCAAATTGATTTGTATTTTTTTTTGATTTTTTTTTTTCAACGTTTATTTATTTTTGGGACAGAGAGAGACAGAGCATGAGCGGGGGAGGGGCAGAGAGAGAGGGAGACACAGAATCGGAAACAGGCTCCAGGCTCTGAGCCATCAGCCCAGAGCCTGACGCGGGGCTCGAACTCACGGACCGCGAGATCGTGACCTGGCTGAAGTCGGACGCTTAACCGACTGCGCCACCCAGGCGCCCCTGATTTGTATTTTTTAAAAATGTTTATTTACATTTGGTTTTGGAAAGAGCAAGTGGGGGAGGGGCAGAGAGAGAGGGAGAGACAGAGAATCCCAAAGAGGCTCTATACTGTCAGTGCAGAACCCGATGTGGGGCTTGAACTCATGAACCGTGAGATCACGACCTGAGCCAAAATCAAGTCAGACACTTAACCAACTGAACTACCTAGGCACCCCTATTTGTTTTAGATAGATGTTTTTGTTAAAAACATAAGGATCTCAAAAGATGCTTTTCTCTATTTTGTTGTTACATATGTTCCCAAGATTGCAAATCGAAGCTCTTACACTTTATTCAAATAATCACATGAACCTCTTTTATAGCAGCACTCCAACACCTATTTATGTTTATTCTGGTTTATTTGTCACATTTTAGACTATGGTACGTAACTGTTTTCCTTAATGGTACCATGCTAAAATACCCTTATATTTTCATTTTGTGGTTACATATAACCCTTCCACAGATTAATCTGTAAACTATTTTACTTTTAATATAGTAAGCACTCATGTATAATCCCTGTGTATGATCTTCCCTTCCCCAAGAAAGAAAAAGTGCATTAGCTTTAAAATTTATTATAAATCTTCTATTTGTTACATATTTCAACAAAGGACAGGCTATCCATTCATCTCATAGGAAAAACAGAGGTTGTGTTAATTTCAAGTCTAAAATAAATGCCATGTTATCAAGATATTACCTGAGGTTGTTTTGGTGTTGGTTGAAGAAACAAGGCTGGCGAGGTTGACAACTTCTCCAGATGTGAAGATGAATGGGGTGGCCACAGTCATAGGGTTGGCTCTCTCGGGATGAGCATTCACCTGATTCTGCATCGCTTCCTACAAAGCAAGTCAGGATAGTTCAAAGTCAGAGCTCGTTAGCTTTAGTTATACAGTCACTGAGCAGCCGCTGCACCCCAGTGCCCTGTGGAGCAGAACTAGTTGTGGCACACAATGTCCCAGGGAGCTCAGAGTTCTCATTAAGACTACTGGTTTTGTTTTGTTTTTCCAGACCAGGGCAACAAAGATGTTAGGCTGCTTTCCCAAGTTTATTTCTAATTAAAAAAAAAGAAGTGTTATTATTTGCAAAAAAGTGTATTACTTGTAAAAACTTCTAGACAATTCACTTTACCTGTCTGGATCTTGTTTTTTATTTGGAAAATGAGGGAAGTGGCCTAAAAAGTAATTTGCAGCTCTAAAACTCTACGATCAATTAATTATGTACAAGTCAATGCGCTAGCAAGAGATCCCTACAGCGAATCTACAGAGAACAATATTCTCCAGAGTTCTGTCCAACTACTTGTTCCACTTTGCCAGTGAAGAAATTCCTAAGAGAATATATAACAAACAAATAAATGAGTGCCAGATTTTAAAGTCTAGTGCCATACCTGCACTTTTGCTTCCAGGGGTATTTGTACAATTTAGGTGTAAAGATGCTTATCTAATTTTCTAACTTTCAGAAGCAGTTTTCTACAAGCATAGTATCTACTTCAAAAGTCCAGTTATGAAAGAGCTCTAAATAAGGAATTAAAGTTGAAGAGTACAACCAGTCTATAGGGAACCATCTGCCAGGAAAAACAAACCCCTGAAAATGCAACAGAAATGGCTACCTATTTTTTACATATAATTATCCCTATGACCAATAGCTTCAGGTGAAACAGATTATCCATTCTCTGCTTACTGTTAAATTCCTTCTTGAATCTGCCTCTTCTTCTATATCCCACTATTGTTTCCTTAATTCAAGCCCCTACTGGCCCTTCCCTGGCCTAATGAAAGTCACATTGAGTGTCTTTTCTCTCAGGTCTGTGTACCACACTCCAAATGATCATCTTTAAAAAAAAAACAACAAAAACAATTCACAGGAGCACCTTGGTGGCTCAGTCGGTTGAGCAACTGACTCTTGATTTCCGCTGAGGTCATGATCTCATACTTTCATGAGTTCAAGCTCCCCATCAGGCTCCACACTGACAGTGGGATTCTCTCTCTCCCTCTCTGTCTGCCTCTCCCCTGCTTACTCTCTCTCTCTCTCTCAAAATAAATAAACTTAAAAA